AATGTATGTTTTGCTGACACTACCTCCTTTACAACATATGGGATCATTTGTAGGGGAGCTAAGAGTAAGTTACACAGTAATCTGTGCTTGCACTCCTTCAGAATATTTAATGCGTGTGAAGAAGAAAGATGCTGGAAGAGGTCAGAATGAGAAAAGCAATTCTGACTTGAAAACTAAACCATTTTAAAAAATTTATTTATTTATTTGTCTTTTTGTTGGTTATTTTTTGACAGGGTCTCTCTAGTCACAGCCCACCTGGAAGTCACAACATGAACCAGGGTAGCCTCAATCTTGCAGAGATCCACCTGCCTCTGCCTCCCAAGGACTGGGATTAAAAGTTCCTGCCACCATTAAAGGCATATGCCACCACACTGGCTTGTTTTAATGTTTTATATAACATTGAGCTTTTCAGTTTTTCCTATATGATTTCAGTTTTTTTATTATTTGTACCAGTGTTTGCCTGCATGTATGTTTGTGCACCACATGTGTGAAATGCCCAAGGAAGGCAGAAGAGGGTATCAGATCCCCAGGAAGTAGAATTGGAGGTGGTTATTAGCCACCATGTGCGTGCTGGGAATGGAACCCAGGTTCTCTGCAAGAGCAGCAAGTACTCTTAACTACTGAGCCATCTCTCCAGTCCCTGATTTCTGTTTTTTTTTTTTTGTCTTTTTGAGACAGGGTCTCCCTGTAGCCCCAGCTGTCCTGGAACTCACTATGTAGACCAGGCTGGCCTTGAACTCGAAGAGACCTGCCTGCCTCTGCCTTCTGAGTGCTGGGATTAAAGGCATGTGCCACCATGCCCGGCTTCTGTATTTTTTTTTTTAGAGGAGAAAGGGAAAAGTTCCCTTAATACTACACCTTTATGAGACCTACCCATATCCTATTATTGATTCATTATTTAAAACATGCTTATTTGTTGCCCTTTACATAACAGTGTTATTCTAGGTGTTGAGAGCATAATAAAGAATAAAAATGTTTTTTTCCTCATATATAAATTCTAGAGAGTAGAGAGAGACAATAACTAAAATATGTAGATATGATTATAATAAGTGCTGTAGTAAGGGTAGGGATTTGGGGAAAAGAGTTGAGCTTGCAGTTAAGTAGGTTGATCAGGGGATACTATTCTGAGAAGTACTACTTGCGTGAAGCCCTGCAGTAGTGAGTGACTAAGCCACACAAATACCAAGAGAAAGAATGATTCAAGCAAGGAGCTCAAGTGCAAAGTCCCTGAGTTCAGAACATGCATAATGGTGTGGGACACAGCAAGAGACCCACATGGCTGGTGTGAATCAAATTATGTATGGCATTTTCACTTTTTACAGAATTTTTGATGGGAAAGCATTAGAGGGTTTTGAGCAGAAGAATAACATTTGATTTATTATTATTATTATTTTGTATTTTGAGAGCTTCTTTGGAGGTTCTAGCAGGAGAGCCCAGCTACTTGTATACCCTTGACCAAAGACCAGTCCTCCTCTATTGGGGAAGTGTTGTGCCTGCATGTACCTAAGTGCACCCGAGTCATTCAGTGCTCATGGAGGCCAGAAGAGGGTGTTGGATCCCTTGAATCTGGAGTTAATGGATGGTTGTTAGCCTACCATATGGGTGCTGGGATTTGAACCTGGGTCTTCTGCAACAGCAACCAGTGCTCTTAACCATGGAGCTATCTCTCCAACCCCCCCTTCTAAAAACTTTTATTCATTTATTTTTATTTTTAAATTTTTTGGTCTTTTTGAGACAGGGTCTCCCTGTAGCCTCAGTTGGCCTAGAACTCACTATGTAGACCAGGCTGGCTTTGAACTCATAAAGATCTGCCTGCCTCTTCCTCCCAAGTGCTGGGATTAAAGGCGTGCACCACCATACCCAGCCCATTTGGGGTTATTTTGTTCATGGTGAGAGATAAGGATCTGATTTCATTCTTCCACATGTAGCTATCCAGTTTGACCAGCACCATTTGTTGGGCATGATGTCTTTTCTCCAATGTGTATTTTGCTGCTTTGTCAAAAATTAGTAGTTGTAAGTCTGTGGACTTAAATTTGAGTCCTCAATTCTAGTCTGTTAATCAATGTATCTGTTTTTGTGCCACTACCATGCTGTTTTTTTGCTATAGCTCTGTAATAGAATTTTTGTTTGTGTGTCTTTTTGAGACAGGGTCTTCCTGCAGCCCCAGCTGCCTAAAATTCACTTTGTAGACCAGGCTTGATCTCACAGAGATCTGCCTGCCTCTGCCTCATGAGTGCTGGGATTAAAAGTGTGCACCACCATGCTCAGCTTAGTTCTCTAATATAATTTGAAATAAGGGATGATGATGCCTCCAGCTCTTCTGTTGTTCAGGATTTTTTTTTTTTTTTAAATTCTGGTGTGTGTGTGTGTGTGTGTGTGTGTGTGTGTGTGCATATGAAATTTGAAATTATTTTTTCAATTTCTGTGAAAAATTGTTGGAATTTTAATGGGGATTGAATGCTACTAATCCATGAGCACAGAGATCTTCCCATTTTCTGGTATCTTTTTTTCTTTCAATCTCCTAAAATTGATTCAGGAAGTGAAGACTTGTTAGTCTCGGAACAGAAAAGGGGGGCTGGAGAGATGGTTCAATGGGTAAAAGTACTGACTGCTCTTGCAGAGGACCTGGATTCAATTCCCAGCACCCACACGGTGGCTAACAACTGTCCAAAACTCCAGTTCCAGGGGATCCGACACTCTCTTCTGTCCTCTGTGGGCAGAATGGGTGCACTTAAATACATACATGCAAGCAATACACTCATATGCATAAAAAAAAAACCTGGCCAGGCATGGTGGTGTACATCTGTAGTCCCAGCACTTGGGAGGCAGAGGCAGGAGGATCTCTGTGAGTTCGAGACCAGCCTGGTCTACATAGTGAGTTCCAGGACAGCTGGGGCTACAGGGAGACCCTGCTTCAAAAAGACCAAAAAAAACAAAAAAACAAAAAAACCCACCAAAAAGAAAAAGGAACCAGTAAAAAAGGATAAAGGGAGCGCACAATATGGGAGAAAGGAAAGGAGCCTGTATGATGGAAATGCCTGTAGTACTTAATCCTAGCACCCAGAAGGCTGAAGTAGGAGAACCAACTAGGCCGAGCTGCATAATAAGTTCCAGGCCAATCTGGGCTGCCTAGTGAGTCCTTGTCTCAAAATTTAAAAAAAACCCATTGGGGGTGGGGGTGGGGGCGCTGGAGGAAAACCAGAAGAATGTGATACCCTAGAAGTCAAGGGAAGACAGTAGTTAATTTGGTTAAAAGTTTATAATTTTTTATTTTATTTTTAAATGTGTGTGTGTGTGTGTGTGTGTGTGTGCAGGTGTCTGTGGTTGTCAGAAGATGGTGTTGGATCCCCTGGAGCTGGAGTTAAATGCTATTTTGAGCTACCCAACATGGGTTCTGGGAACTGAATTCAGGATGTGCTCTTAACCACTGAACCACCCTTCCCCCTTTTTTTTGAGATGGGTTATCCCTATAGTCCTATGCCTGCCTTTGCTTTCTGTGTGCTGAGTTTAAAGGTGTGCACCACCATGCACAGCTGCCAGCCCCTATTTTTAAACATTTTGTATGTGCTTGGGTGCATATGTGCCACAGCATATGTGGAAGTCAAAGGACAACTTGCAGGAGTTTCTTTCCTTTTATCTTGTGGGTTCTGGGAATGAAATTTAGGCTGTCAAATTTGGCAGCAGGTGCCTTTACCTACTAAGCCATCTCACCAGCCTAGATGGAAGTTTTTTGACAGGATCTCCCTAGCCCCAGCCCACCTGGAACTCACTATGTAGACAAGGCTGGCCTCAATCTCAGAGATCCACCTGCCTCTTGGATTAAAGGTGTGTGTTACTATGCCTGGGGTTAGAACACTTGTAGGCAGGAAAATTGCTGTGAGTTTAGAGTAAGCCTGGGCTATATGGAAATTTCAAAGCTAGCTTGTGCTATTGTTTGAGATTTTGTCTTAAACAAATGGGCTGGAAAGATGGCACAGCAGTTAAGAATACTGCTCCTTTTGAGGATCCAAGTTCTGTTCCCAGCACCCACATCAGGTGATAAGCACCTGTAAAACCAACTCCGTGGTACCTGATGCCCTCTTCTGGCCTTCTTGGATACTGCATTCACACACGCACAACTGAAAATAAAATCTCAAACCAGGTATGGTAGCAAGTACCTTTAATCCCAGCACTTGAGAGGCAGAGGCAGTCGGATCTCTGTGAGTTCAAGGCTGGCCTGGTCTACCTGGTGAGTTCCAGGCTAGCTGGGGCTACAGGGAGACCCTGTCTCAAAACAAGAAGAAAAAAAAGAAAAGAAAATCTCCAAACAATATATGGGCCTTTGGGCCATGTGTGGTAGTGCATGCCTTTAGTCCTGACACTTGGAGGTAGAGGCAGGCAGATCTCTGAGTTCTAGGCCTGCCTGGTCTATACAGCAAGTTCTGGGCCAAACAGGACTACATAATGATATCCTGTCTCAACAAACAAAACTGGCTGGGCATGGTGGCGCACGCCTTTAGTCTCAGCACCTGGGAGGCAGAGGCAGGTGGATCTCTGAGTTCCAGACCAGCCTGGTCTACATAGTGAGTTCCAGGCCAGCTGGGGCTCCAGGGAGACCCTGTCTCAAAAAGACCAATAACAAAACCAAACAACAACAACAACAAAAAAAACTAAATGTGTAAAAAAGAGATAGAAGAGAAAAAGTAATCTCATTAGTAATGAATTTGAAAAATAATTTTTTTAACATGGAAAAATTAGAGATGCTTTGAACTAAGAGACATTCTGGCCTAACGGTGTACAACACACTGCTGACTGGGTCATTTTTCTGAGTGTTTTCACACTTAGGTATTCCCCATTTTTGATTCTTAAATTTTTGAATTGCTAGCTGAATGCCTCTGAACCATGGGGTATATGTTTGCATCCTAGCTATCAGCATAGGGATGCTAGCGAGACAGACTAGAAATGTAGAAGCTTAGTAACAGCATGTGCTTGTTTCCTCTTGTTTAACCTTTTCTCTACAGGGCATCTTTAACCAGTTTCAGTGTAGTAGTGAAAAAGTACTTCCATCTGACACTCTTCGAAGTGCTCTTGCAAAGACTTTTCAGGATGAGCAACGCTTCCAGCTGGGAATTATGGATGATGCTGCGGAATGCTTTGTAAGTGCTGGCCTCTTGTCCTCTTTGATATGGGGTAGGACTGTTGATAGTCTCTGTGAGGACTATTAGTGATGGACTTTATTGTGCCCTTATCTCTACAGTCAGAACTAGTGGTTTCTCTAGCTTTTCAGAGCTCTGGAGTCTCTACTACTGTAACATAAATTGCCTAGTGGGTGTATGATTTTTCCTCCAGGCTTGGGGTATTTAATGCTAGCCATTGCATAAACTGTGGCTATTTTCAGAGAAGCATGTTAAAGTACTCTCAGAGCTTTTTACTCAGTAGCCTGGGATGGGGCTTAAGAGAAGCCTCTAACAAGTTCCCAGGTGATGCTGTAGTGATCGTTCTGCTATGGGTACCACAGGTTCTTTTTAACTTCTCTATTTCTAAAGGTATTAACAGGGACTATGATGTTCTGATACAGAAAGTTACATTGCTCTAGTGACTTCAATAGATTTAAATTTTTTTTATTTTAGCCGGGCGTGGTGGTGCATGCCTTTAATCCCAGCACTTGGGAGGCAGAGGCAGGTGGAGCTCTGTGAGTTTAAGGCCAGCCTGGTCTACAAAGTGAGTTCCAGGCCAGTGGGGGCTACAGGGAGACCCTGTGTCTGTCACAAAAAGACCAAAAAGAAAAGAAAAAAAAGTGTAGTGTGCTGTAATCCCCAGCACTTGGGAAGTGGAGGCAGGAGTTCAAGTTAATTACATATTCAGTATAATTACTAACCAGGCGCACTGCCTTCCATGAAACAAAAAAAATTTATTTATTATTTTATTTATTATTTTTATTTTATGTGTATGAGTATTATGCCTGTATGTAGTAAGTTCACCCGTGTTGTGCAATGCCGTGGAGGACAGAAGAGTCTATACATAGATAGGTAAGGCTATGAAAAAGTAGCATGAAAGAGCTTTGTGTCTTGATTATGGTTCCATGACTATAATGAAGTTGAATAGAGTTATACACACAAGTTCATAGAAAACTGATGAAATCTAAATAATCTGAGTGATATTAATGCCCATTTCCTGGTGTGTGTGTGTATGTGTGTAGTTTTTCCTTTAAAAGTTTACAAAACTCGGGAGGCAGAGGCAGGTGGATCGTTGTGAGTTCGAGGCCAGCCTGCTCTACATAGTGAGTTCCAGGCCAGCTGGGGCTACAGGGAGACCCTGTCTCAAAAAGAAAAAAAAAAAAGCTTAAAAAAATCAGAGGTATTCCTCCTTTCCAGGAAGATTGCTACTTCTTGGGGCAGATTGTTTACCAGCTTGTCCATTGTGTCTTAAGTGGTATTTGTATACTGTTTTTGTTCTTTCCTTGTCAGGAAAACCTCCTGATGAGAATTCACTTCCACATTGCTGATGAAAGCAAAGAGGATATCTGTACTGCTCAACACTGCATTTCTCACCAGAAATTTGCAATGACGTTGTTTGAGCAGGTGAGCTTTATCTGGCCTCATCTCTTCTTAGACTTTTTCTTTAAGAATCCTTTATTTTGGGGCTGGAGAGATGGCTCAGTGGTTAAGAGCACTAACTGCTCTTGCAGAGGACCTGGATTCAATTCTCAGCACCCACATGGTGGTTAACAGCCATCTGTGGCTCCAGTTCCAGAGGATCTGATGCTTTCTTCTGACCTCCGAGGGCATTGCATGATACTGGTGCACTTACAACAATGCAGGCAATGCACATAAAATAAAAATAATAAATAAAAGGTGTTTTTTTTTTTGTCTTTTTGAGACAGGGTCTCCCTGTAGCTCCAGCTGACCTGGATTTGCTATGGAGACCAGGCTGGCCTCAAACTCACAGAGATCCACCTGCCTTTGCCTCCTGAGTGCTGGGATTAAAGGCATGCTCCACCACACCCAGCAATAAAAGTATTTTTTAAAAAAGAATCCTGGGGGCTGGAGGGATGGCTCAGCGGTTAAGGGCACTGACTGTTGCAGAGGATGGGGTTCGATTCGCAGCACTCACATGGCAGTTATGAATCGTCCTTAGCTCCAGTTCCAGGGAAATCCGAAGCCCTCTTGTGTTGTCCGCAGCATTGCATGACACAGGTGCTCACACATACATGCAGGCAATACACTCATACACATAAAATAAAAATAATAAAATATTAAAAAAAAAAAGAATCCTTTATTTTGGGATGTAGGGTCTTAATTGGGTTTGAAAATATTTCCTCATGGTGGCTGCTCAGTTTTGCTTTTTCTCCCTGGGCCAGTGTGTATGTACTAGCTGTGGTGCCACTTCTGATCCGCTGCCATTCATTCAGATGGTACATTACATCTCTACTACATCTCTTTGGTGAGTCTTTAAAGGGATTCTTTACTGTACCATTAGTCACTGCTCCAGTTGATTGGGTTTTAACTTAAGGCCACCACATAGCTTATATCCTAATTGCTGAGTCTGTGCTATACTACAAGACTTCAAAACAACCATTTAAAAATAACTTTTGTTTTCCTTTTTTTCCCCTCTCCTATCCCTCCCCTTTTCTTAGGCTCAGTACTGGCCAGCAAAGTGGGAGGAGGAATGGGGATTCTATGAGCTTTGGATTTTGGGACAGGTAGAGACACTCACTGTGCTTGTGGGACACTGAGGCTAGTCAGGACAAGGGGCTGTGTGGTATAGTGGGCAAAGGAAGAAAATCACTTGTGTGAGTTAGGCGTTTTCATGAATGATTAAAAGAATTAGCCATAACTATAACTCAGTATAACATCTACCATTAACTCCCATCTTTCCCCATCTTGAAGCAATCAGGCTATTTGTATGCTGGAAAAGCGAGAGAAACCTTCACCAAGCATGTTTGGTGAGCTGCTTCAGAATGCCAGCACCATGGGGGACCTGCGGAACTGTCCAGTGAGTTACTTCTGTGGTATTTAGGGGAGGAAGGAGAACCTTGGTTCAGTACAATTGAGGCAGAGCTGGTGGAGAATGGGTTCAATTAGTATTATATCTGTTTCAGAGCAACTGTGGAGAAAGGATCCGGATCCGCCGTGTGTTGATGAATGCACCACAGATTATCACAATTGGGCTGGTGTGGGACTCTGACCATTCAGACTTGGCAGAGGATGTCATCCACAGTCTGGGCACTTGCCTTAAGCTGGGTGATGTATGTATTAGTTACCTTTATCTCTGTATTATTCAAGCACTGAACTAAAAGATTATGTTCTAGGTAGAACTATAGAGTTTTGGACAGATACACTTATGCTTATGTAAGTAAATACATGGACCTGTATGTATGTCCTCACGTTTCTCTTTTGTGAGGGTGCAGAAGAGCCTTTTTAGAGGAAAATGGTATGATTTTTGCCTTGGACAAAATAGGCAAAACTTCGCTACTGGTAAAATAAGTTACTTTCTAGAGGTATTACTTTCTAGAGGTATTGTGTGCTCCTCTGGTTGTTAGTCTGTGCAAGGATGCTGCATATCCAACCCTGGAGACAGGAAAGTCAAAGGAGCAGGCAGTTTAATGAAGTGAAGGTGATAAATGTTGGTGGCCTAAGCCCAAGAATAGGCAATTCAGAGTGTTGAGAAGGGAATGAAGCAACTTTGAAGATAATTTAGTAGTTTCAGGGTATTCTGTGCATTTATTTTGGGATGTAGGGGGTAAGACATCAGCCCAGGTTTCTTCCTTATCTGTTCCATATCCTGGAGCAGGTACAGTCAGTATTTTCCTTCATTTCAAGAAAAACCAGAAAATCTTGTTTTCTTTGCACTAGTTTTTGTCTGGGATAGTCCTGTGACTAAGGAGAGTCTTTGTTCTTGTTTTAAATAGCCTGTACTGAGAACAGATGAATTGTCGGGGATCTCATTTTAGGTTTCCTATGCAGGAAACCTGACTGGAGTAGCATACGCATAGTAGAACCTTTTAAATTTATTTATTTATTTTTCTATGTGTATGAGTGTTTTCCCCACGTGTATATAAGTACACCCATGTCATGGAATGTTTGTGGAGATCAGAAGAGGGCATTGGATCACCTGAAACTAGTGTTACACAGGATTGTCAGCTACCATATGAGTGCTGGAAACTGAACCCTAGTCCTCTGCAAGGGTAGCCAATCTCTTAACCGCTGAGCCATTTCTCTAGCCCCACATAGTTAGATCTTTAAAAAAATGTTTCTCTGTATTTTACATATTCTGTAGTAGCATAGTTTCACTAAAAAATATTTGGTTGGGGGATAGGTAGGATCTCATGTATTCCAGGCTGGCCTACAATTGGATAAATAGCCTAGGATGACTGAACTCTGGGTCCTCTTGCCTCTTTCCCTCTTTGGTACTGGAATTAGAGGTGTGTGCTATCATGCATGGTTTTGATTTTATTTTATTTTTTATTATTGTTTTCTCAATCAGGTGAGTTTCTTAAAGACAGAGTCCCTTTATTCGTGTGTTTTTTTGTGTGTCTCAGCACTCAGGACAGTGCTGAGGAGGTACCTAGGAGTTGAAATGAAACCCTCCTTTCTGAGGGTTTCTTACGCTCTGTTGGGGGCTCAGTAGGATGTTTCTATCCATTGTGCCAGCAAATAAATATCTTTGAAGCCATGTTGTAGTGGTACACACCTTTAATCCCAGTGCTTGGGAGGCAGAGGCAGGCAGATCTCTGTGAGTTCTAGGCCAGCTTGGGATACATAGCCAATCTCTGTTTCAAAAACTAAACAGAAAGGAGCTGGAGAGATGGCTCAGAGCTTAAGAGCACTGGCTACTTGGGCAGAGGACTCTAGTTCAGTTCACAGCACTCTCATGGCAGCTGACAACCTCTGTAACTTCACTTCCATGGGGAATCCAACACCCTCTTCTTGCCTGTGTGGGCACTGCACATATATGGTGCATATATATGCATGTAGGCAATACACTCATAACATATAAAATAAAACTAAATAAAAACAATACCGACTGAAATAAACAAAAGAAGAATCTTTGAGATTTGAAAGCTACCTTTTGTTTTGTTTTGTTTTTAACTTTCTTGACTCCTTCTGCTAGACTTAAGAAAGAAAATATGGAAAGATATAAGACACTTTATTCTTTGTAGTTTACTGGACACTGTCAGTCTTTCTTTTCAAAGTTTTTCCTAAAAGTGCCCCAGGCTGGCTAGCTTCAAACTTAACGATTCTCCTGCCTTAGCCGCCTAAGTGTTGGGATCATAGGCATGTGCTGTCATGCAGAGCTTTTAGGTTCCCTTCTGGTGAATAATTTAGACTAAGCAGAAATAGCTCAGATTGAGGGAAGAAGCAAGTCATTATCTTCATTAAGAAATGTTGATGGCCTCTGGACATGTGTCTAATCCCAGCTTTTGAGAGATGAGGCAGAGGATCAGGAATTCAAGGTAATTTTTGGCATATGCTGCACTCCAGGCCAGCCTAGGCTACTTGAAGCTCTATTTCAACAAAACAAAATAATAATAAAAAATGTTGATGGAAGAACTGGACGTGGTAGTGCAGGCTTGAGGCTTAATTACTTCCATGTGTTTGAGATCAGATTGGTCTACATAGTGAATACTGCTGGCCAGAGCTACATAGAGAGACTGACTCAGAGAAGTGATGGGGGAAAGGGAGACAAATATTGGTAGAGCTTGCTGAGGGATTATGTAAGGTGGTTGAATGTCTGATAGATCTTTACCTTCTTTTTCTCTGCAGCTGTTTTTCAGAGTGACAGATGACCGGGCCAAACAATCTGAACTGTACCTAGTAGGAATGATCTGTTACTATGGCAAACATTATTCCACATTCTTTTTTCAAACAAAGATTCGCAAATGGATGTATTTTGATGATGCTCATGTCAAGGAGGTATGAATGTGCAAGGCCCTTTTGAAGTAATTTGGTGATAGAAACACAAAAACTAATTGTATTTGTCTTCAGTGTTTTGCTTTCATAATTTTGAATGGTCACTTTCCATGCCCTCTGTAAGGCATTCTTTGTGTTTTTTGTCTTTTTACTAATCCATCTATCTGTTAAATTGATTGTAATTGGATTGGTTATTTTTCTGAAACGGGCTCATTCTGTGCTCTAGGCTGATCTGAAACTTGCATTGTAGCCCAGCCTGGCCTCATGCTTGTAACAGTCCTCCTTCCTTTGCCTCCCAAGTGCTGGGATTACAGGAAAGAACCATTAAATTATAAGGGCATTAGCGTTTGTTTTTTATATTCTAATCTAATAGATACCAGTTCTTGGAGAATAGGAACCGTGTATCTTCTATCATTCTGTTTGGATCGCTTCATCAAGCATTCAATAGTTCTGTATAGTTGACAAAGCATTTTTTGTCTTAAATGGATAATTTGAATAGGAACATGTGATGTTGCCAATTAGGCTGTATCATTAACCAAAGTTCAGAATTTTAAATCTATTAACCATAGATAATATTTTATTTCAAGACTGTTAAAAATTATTCTTCAATTCTCATTTCCCTAAAGTATCTTATTAGAGCTTAACATATTTTTAGTATATTGTAGGGAACATAGGCCTATAATGATACAGAGGAGAATTGATCTTAGTCTAAACCATAGCTTCTGTGGATAAAATGGTTTGGGTGATCTATATCAATTAGGAAGCCCCTTGTGATAACATTACCAGCTATGGAGACTGTTGACTATTCCAGTACATAGACTTTCAAACAAAGTCTTTTGCAAATAGCAAAATCTTTGTTAATTTCCTTTATTCTTATCTTCTTTGGCAGGGAGCTTTTATAATTAGGGGCAACTTACACAAATTATTTGAGCATTAGGTTATTTATTTGAAAAATACTCCTATGAAATATTAAATAAGATTGGTATGTGAAAAACATATAAATTATGCTTTAATTAAAATAATGGTAACTTAATTTAAATTACTGCATATCTGTTGTGAGTAAACTACCATGCTAATTGTCTAACTGGCATACTGTAACATACATCTAAGAATGTGCCTGGTTCAGGCCTAAGATGGGATGAATTGGCAGTTTGGTGAGATGGCTGTTTCCATGGCTATTATGTTATTCTTTTCCACTGTGATAGCAGCTGAATCCATCACAGGACTAAGAACAAGAGGTTCAGCTGTCTATTCTAAGTTGTTTGACATTCTGTGTGCCATGTGTGAACTCTGAAATGGAATGTCATTTGTTCTAAGGCAGTCTGCAAGAGAGTTCTTATCCTCTGCTTAACTTTACTAATGTGATCATAAAATATTTAGGACAAAATTGTACTGCAAATTTAAAGTGAGTTTTTTTTTTTTTTTTTGAGACAGGACCTGAAGCCCCAGCTGTCCTGGAACTCATCATGTGGACCAGGCTGGCCTTGAACTCACAGAGATCCACCTGTCTCTGCCTCCTGAGTGCTGGGATTAAAGGCGTGCGCCACCATACCCGGCCTTTAAAGTGAGGTTTTAAGTCTGTTATCTATGAAAAGAAATTACTTAGGCAGCTTAGGTCTCCTCATATAGCTTGTTCACATGGTTTTGTGAGCTTTTATTCATATTTCAAAACTGAATTGATGTCTCACAGAAATAAAGCTAATTGCATTCATCCTCCTTTTCTCTTATTGTAATGTTTTCTAAAAAATAAAAATAAAAAGCCGGGCGTGGTGGCTCATGCCTTTAATCCCAGTACTCAGGAGGCAGAGGCAGGCGGATCTCTGAGTTCGAGGCCAGCCTGGTCTACATAGTGAGTTCCAGGCCAACAGGGGCTACAGGGAGACCTTGTCTCAAAAAGACCAATAAATAAATAAATAAAAAAGAATTAACAAAAAGTTAGTAAGTTAGATCTAAGGGCTTTTCTATTTTCTCTAGCTAATTCTTATCATAGAAAAACACAATAGGAATTGTTTTGATTTGTGGGTACGAAGTATAACTGTCACATTTTTCTGGTGTTTCTGGTTCAGATTGGTCCGAAATGGAAAGATGTGGTAACCAAATGCATCAAAGGGCATTATCAGCCCTTGCTGCTGCTATATGCAGATCCCCAGGGTACCCCAGTGTCTACCCAGGACCTGCCTCCTCAAGCTCAGTTCCAGTCATATACCAAGACGTGCTATGATAGTGAAGATTCAGGTGAGCAGCCTAGCTGTTGTTTTCCTCCCTCCCACCACCCCACACAATTATATAGTTGGGACTCAAGCCTAAATGTTTAGTATATAGTCATCCTAGCTTGGAAAAGGAGAACCCACTAGATGTAAGAAAGAAGTACCAACTTGTTCTGAAACCAATTAGTGTCAGGCTCTATTTTCTTCAGCCTTCAAGAGTGTGATACTCAAATCAATTGGCTCAATCAGAAAAGTGAGAAAGAAATTATACTTTACACTGAGATACTAAAATTGTAAGGGACACCTCAGTGTTTAACCTTGAAATATTATTAAAGGTTATTGATTCCCATTAGCATTTTAACAGTGGCTTAAATGAATCCTTAAGAAAAACTAGGCTACTACAAAGCCAATTTGTAGGTGAGAGTTGTTTAAAAATTCTAAGTGCAGCCAGGCGTCGTTGTGCATGCCTTTAATCCCAAACAGGAAGATCTCTGAGATCAAGGCCAGCCTGGTCTACCTAGTGCATTCTAGACCAGCCAGGGCTACAGGGAGACCCTGTCTCAAAAAAACAAAAGAAAAAAAAAATCCAAGAACAGTAGTCATAGTACTCATTTATGAATCAGTTCTTCAAGTCTGAGTCTGTTGTGTGGAATTTATATAATGTTTCCTATAGAAATACTTTTCACCTTGATGACTATAGTCTTAAGATAGCCCACAGAGACTGATAATATTCCAACTATGACCCTGGTAATTTGGGCTTGATTTCTGCAAAAAGGGAAGAAGAAACGTTCCTTCCTTCACTTTGTCTTCTAGCTCTAGGACTGGCTCTTAGTATGTTTTTTTAAAGAGAAGATGCTTGGGTTAAAGTCTTTTCTTTCTCTTCATTGCATCTCCCTCCTGCTTGGTCTTTGGTGCTTTTTCTTACTGTTTTCTTTTGTTTTTGAGACAGTGTCTCACTATGGAGCACAGACTAGCCTGGAAAGTCACTGTGTAGCCCAGGCTGTCCTCCATCTCATGGTGATTCTCTTACCACCCCAGCCTCTGGAGTGCTGGAATTACACCAGGTCAACTGTTCTTTCTGTTTTTGTGCCCCACCCAGACCTGCCCTACTTCTTCCTTCAGTCAAGTACCATTTGTCCTCTTTTGTTTATCCCAGATAAGTGTTCAGAAGAAAGCCTTCTACTGGACAACACTCCCATCATTTCTCAAAAATACTAAAAAATGTATATGCCAACTTGTTAGAACATTTGACAGTATAGGAGAAGGATTATAAGATAGGTGAGCAGCTGGTATGTATGACAGGTTGACCTTGGGCTGTCCATCTATATAGATCTTACTTTCACAGCCTTTTCATTTCTTCCACTTTCGCCCTGTCCTAGTTTGTTTCTTCATTGCTGTGACAAAATACTCTGACCAATACCAACTTGGGGAGGAAAGGGTTTATTTAGCTTACATTTCCCAGGTCACAGTCCAATAGAGGCAATTCCCCAATTGAGGCTCACTTGACACACAAACATCACTATTAAACCATAACTTTCCAATTTCTGTCCCCAAGATATGATGTTAATATCCTAAAATAAGACAGTACAACCTTAAAAACCCCACAGTCCTCCAAACACTTAAAAGTTCATAGTCTCTTTTAAAAGTCTCTTAACTGTGGCTTCTTGTAAAATCCAAAACATGTACTGTCTTATTTCAAAGGGAGGAACTGAGCACACTTAAGCCAAACCAAAGTCCAGAAAAGTAGCTCAAGGCTGGATATTTGGGATTAACTCATGATCTTCTGGCCTCCAAAGGGTTCTGGCAACTCCACTTCTCTGACTCTGCTGTCCAAAGAACACTAAGCTCATCTCACAGACCCAGGCCAGCTTCATTCCACACCTACTGCGGTCCTTGGTGGTCGTCCCATGGTCCTGGCATCTCCAAAAAGCTGGGGTCACCACTGAAACTGAGGCTACACCTTCACCAATGGCCTCTTCTTGCCTCTTGGGGTGCAAAGCCTCAGTTTCTCTCCATGACCCCTTCAGTCCTGGGGTCTTCACT